ACGCTCTAATCATCGAGTAATCGGATTCTCTGTCTTACGGTAATATGTCCTAAAAATAACAAAAATTTTACTGCAACTTAGTAAGTAACATTACAATTAGCCATGTGGCAAGGTTCGAGGGATCTCGAAGACATGACATCACAAACCAGGGCGGGTGTGCCCTGTATCTGATCGGTTTACGCCTATCTATTAATGTATATTGCTTATCAACAACCGTCAAGACATCGAGCCCGATGGCTCGATGGTTAAAGCGTTCGCCTCTGACTGGAGAGACGCGGGTTCGAAACTCGAGAGTGGCGACAATTTACGCTGCTACACTTGATTACAGTATATCCAACTGAAGACGCTTAAAAGGCAGAAATAGCCATTCCAGATTCTCTGTCTTACGGTAACATGTCCTAAAATTGTAAACCATCTCTATGTTACCATATAGTTTTGCATACCTTTCCACAAATATTTCCAGCAAGTGCCTACTAAAGGGCACCCATTCTCTGCATGACTGTGGGCGGACTAAACATTCTTATCGCTGCAAGCAACTAAAGGAAATGCTTCCAATATTTTTTTTGGAGGCATAACTATAAGAACTACAACTCCCGTGTACAGTAGAAACTGGCGCAGTTCCGTCAACTTCTGATAGTGACCTTGCACGCAGGGAAAACATGCGTGGCAGGTGTGGGCAAATGGCCTTTAACCTTTCATTAACTGTTAAGAATGCCTCATCCGATAGCCTAAACGGCGTCCCCTTAGGACTCTTAAGCCATAAATTCAACAACCTGCGCATAACGCCCAGGTAAACTAGATGCAGGGGGTCTAGACGAAAACCGCTTACCATTTACACAGTACATGCCAGTAGCGGTGACGTGCCGATGCGATGACAGTCATCCGTCCTGCGATGAAAATCTTCATCGCGCCGCATACGGTCACTTAGATTAACGTTATATGTCTTATGATAATTATGATCATAATGACCCTTAATTCAGCACCGCTCGCAGCCGTACTCGGAATTCACATTCTTAATTTGCTTTATGAATGTCGTTGCTGGAGCATCATATATGACGGCTGCCAGACGAAATTCTACTCGTACTTGTTACGGCTGAGGCCTGGCAAGCCAAAAGCCTATAAAGTATCGCAAAGACTGACAACAGCGCTGTGAAATGGCGAGCGTGAACCGCCATCAAATAAGTTCGCTTGCCACCGCTGCCTTGTGTTTAGGCTATTGAGCCAAAACGCTAGAAGAGACAATCTCGAGAAAACAATCCGTGCGGCTGTTGGGGACCCGCTCGTACTCAAAACTCCCAAGTCACCTCGATGACGAAATTCGAACTATTTGTCGATTGCATCGGCACGCAGACGATGCCTACGCAAACTTCGCAGCTTACCCCTCGCAGTGGTTATTTATATTCTTTGCTTCTCTACCTCTCTCCAGATCTCATAGCTTTCTAGGATTCTTTGTGTAATTAGGTTTCCTTCAGCTGCAGTTCTCACAATGTACCATTATAACAAGTTAGCTTTTGCCAATGCAATTGCGGGCTTCCATCTCTTAGGAATACCATAGTGCACAAAAACTGACAGAGAAGGGTTTGTGTATGATCATTGGTGATCTGATTGTTTTCGCGTCTGTTTCGTGTCTGGTATCTACCGATCGGCATAACGCCTTAAAAACGTTTTACTCGCACCACGAGCCAACCGCGAAATTAGATTCGTTTGTTGCTTAGTCGTGCGTTTCCATTTTTTTTCATGTACTATTCGTAAGCCGTTTGAACGGGCTTAAAGTCTTGCTCTGTTTTCTCCATTCTAAGTACAGTATCGAATCTTTCGCTTTAATCAGAATGTTGGTTAGCACCAGTTACCAATGCAGCTCTTTTTACCCGGTCTCCTCGCTTTTCTTCATAGTGACTACCTAAATTTTTCTTTAGAGAGAAGATGCCTGGGACTATTCGTTCCAGACTCCCAAGGAAATGTCGTCTCCGAACAGTAAATACAGCCAGTTCCCCCTACTTTGACAACTCACCGCCCCGGACACCCACCAGTGATACTGACTTCGAGCCGTCTCCCACTTTTTCGAAGAAATCATCAAAGGCCCGAGTCAGGTGGAAGAACGTTCGAAGGACGCCAACCTCGTCTGTGTCCAAGAAAGCAGCCGTTTCTAAGAGGGTTGGGGAAGTCAGTGAGGTGCCCGATGATGACTGGAAAAAGGTGCCTGTCAAGAAGGAGCGAAAGAAAATCAGCAAAACTAAGCAGTCTGGACGTATAAAACAAACTGCCCCGTCCATGCTGGCTGAGACCAAACCGGAGCCAAGTCGATCTGCCAGCTCCAGCGAGGAAGAAGGCGATTGGGAGGAGGTGGTTGAAAATAATTCACCTCATGCACCCCCGCAAGAGGTAGAATTCATGAGTCAGCTGCTCACCACAACCAAACCTCAACCAAATTCTTCCATCGAAGATGACGAAGACGAAAATAAAGTTATTTCAGTGACGATTGGAGTTGTTGGCAGGCAGGCCAAGTCTCTTGATCCGAAGCTGGCGGCAGCCATGCTCAAAGCGAAACGGCTTCGCGAAAAACGCTACGCAGCACACGTCTGTCATCTGTTGTGCCTCCTGTCGCATGCGCGGGTAGCTAACTTGGCCTGTGACGATCCCCTCATCCGTGGCTTGGGTCTTTCCTTGCTAACCAGCATAGATGAGGTTCGTGATAGTGCCCGCTGCGTTCTGTCTACCAACAAGTGGGGTCTCAGTGACCTTAGGCTCTTTTTGCTCGCATTTATTTGCCACATCACCGCAAAAGCCTCCCGCACCACTACCGAGTATGCCAGCCTTACAGAGGCTATAGAGAGTCGACTACAAGTGAAACAGTCAACACTAAACGATGTGACTGTACTCCTGGTCGCAGTTCTGCGAACCATCGGCCTGGATACTCGGCTTGTCTGTGCGCTCCAACCACTCCCCCTGAAATTGCCTTCTGCTCTGCGCAAGCGAACTAAAAAACCGGTCTTTCCAGCCTCTGCTGCAACTCACAAGAAAATGAAACCGTTGGGGCAGTCCGCTGAAAACGACAAGATTCTATCCACCTCATCCTGCGGGGGAAGCACAGATAGTGACTGTGAAGGGCGTCTAGAGGATGCGGCTCAGGAGGCCTCTCTGGTGTTTTTTGCGGAAGCTTTCCTGCCTTCCAGTGGCACTTGGGTTGGTGTGAATCTTCAGCCACCGGTAGGCAGAGTTGATGTGGACTTCTTTCAACTGCCATTTCCATACGTGGTGGGTTTCGCTTCTACCAGACCAATTTTCGAGTCCTCATCATCGATTACCTCACCCTACAGTGGCCGCTCCCCCATCGATCTGGCTTCTCGTTATGATCCTCAGTGGTTGTCCAGTTCACGAGGTTGTCGTATTGCCGACCCCCTTTGGAAAGAATTGTTGGATCAAATGAAGGAGTACTGTGACACAGACGCCGCACAAGCGGGAGATCTACGCGTGAGAACAGTGACTATGGAGCCGGAGGTTCGTGACGTTATTGATGCTGAGCGCATCCAGAACTGTCTACACCAACTGCCCCTGCCTAGACGGGTGAGCGATCTAAAGAATCATCCACTCTATGTGCTGAAGCGTCATCTTCTCAAGTTTGAAGTCATCCACCCCACAGATGCACCTGTCGTCGGTTTCTTGAAGGTGGGCAAGTCGGATTCACTGGGGGAGCCAATTTTCTCGCGAGAGTTCCTCCACATATGTCACACCCGGGAAGCCTGGTTGAAGGAGGCTAAGGTAGGCTGCCGTCCCCCGGTGTCCTTTTGTTGTATGCATCAAATCAATTTTTTTTCTAAGACCTTAATTATATTGATAAAACCCCTATACACAACATAGCGAACTTCCTCGGAGTAATTTACTTCTTCGTTTGATCGCCCCCTGTGGCCTGTCTCCACAGCTAAGCGAAAGGCCGCTCGGCAATCCAGCAACATCGCTGATCGGGAGTTTTCTCGAACGTGGGCTCACGGGAAGTGAACCTGCAGCTAACTACAGTAAATTGCCTAACTGATAAAACGCGAAGGTCGAAATGTAAGTGGATGGTTTAACACACATTAGAGTCTGTTTATTTTATTCATTGAGTCGACCTGAGGCGCAAGATACTGTTTACAAGAAAGACTTTCATTTCTACACAGTATACCGAAGGGAAATAGGCGCAGGATTTGGCAAAGTTCAAAGTTTGTCCATATCGAAGGAATGTCCTATTCTATTAAACGCTGCGGACCAAAACTTCTTGGTTATGCTTGTTGAACTATAAAAGAATTTTAATAAAAACGGGAAATGTTTTAACTATATGTTGCCTGAGAACAGAAAATTTCGTCTTGCGCTCACGAAATTGAGGTAAGTGCACGTATGAGTTAACGCATTTTTGTCGGGAAAAGAAGAGCGAATTAAGTTTAAGAAATTCTGTTTTGCAAATCTGCCACTTTATGTGCCATAAAATTGAGTAATAAACTTATGAGGCTGTAATTTGTTTTACCACCCCGAAAATAAGGACGGTAAACAAGCATAAATATGAGCACCCGAGACATGCCGTCAATTTTCTCCGTCAAGCCGTATGCCAAAGATGCCTAAACACTTTTAATCTATAGTTCAATATGAACGAATAAGGAAACTTGAAACGGAACAGGTAGAAGATTCTCACTTTTTGCAAAATTGTAGTATTTATTCCGCCACTCTGACGTGCTTTCGCAATATTAGAGTGGGGCCTAAAAGTAAAGACGTATACTGAAAACTGCTCCAGTATACACAGAAGGTGAGTTTCTCCACTTTCAGGAGAAGATTTATTCCTAATTCTCAGGGAAGTCGAAAAACCGGTCACACTTTGCGATTTTTGTATTGACTTTATCTTCGAAAAAGGTAAAGTACGCAGATAGTTGACATCGAAATATCCAAATAAAGCTCTTTTTCAAGAGATAAGTTCTTATAGGAAGCTTTTTAATTGGTCTCAGGCATATCAATTTGTGACTAATGTTGCAGAAGTTCATTTTTCTCGGTAAAGAATTGACAGACTTGGGTGATCGTAAAACCATGACACAGACAAAAAAGTGCATTAGAAAGAATACCCAAAAATCCATTTAGGTAAGTGCGTTTTTAATAAATATCTTATTTTGAATGTTTTGTTGAGCACGTAGGATATAATCCTTATTTATGGCCAATTGACTGAAGCCGGTGTTAATCACCATTTCAAGAACGATCTGAACCTCGTCGTACTAGAAATCCCGAAATAATCACAAATAAATGTGGAGGGAAGGAAATTTCCCTGTGTGCACAAAATGATGCATTTAGGATTGCAATTGACAATTCCATTATAATTTATTATTCACTTACTGGCATTTCCGCACGTGAGCTTACGTAATATCTTACTCCTGTGACCTCTCAATCCGTATGATCAAGCGAAAATCTGTTTGTCTTAGCCCAGCTTAAATCAACCTATGTAAAAACGGAAGAAACAACTAGCGATTCTCGTGAAACCGTGCTAGACTAGTTGGGCTGGTCAGTAACAGCCATACTCAGAAGAAGAAGATGCGATCACTGGAACAAGGACTTTATTTTCCTGACGTTTACCCCTCGGGAATCCTTAATCATAGGTAATCGAAGAACAGTCTGAAACATGCGCTGATACATGCACAGATAACACAGTATTTATAGTTTGTAGCGGTCAACCGCATGCGTACTATAATTGTCAGTTCCTTTAGCCACCGCT